ATTTTATACCTAAATACAAGCATGCAACTTCTACGACAGGTGAACACCCTCAGAAAACCATCAGAAGTAAAAGATTGTCATAGTACAGAAACTTCAAACCATCGAAATCTCGAATCTGCGGATTTTCTGAAGCTGCACAATGCCCTTAGGAACTCATGAGCTTGAGGTTTCGAGATTCTCACATTTCGAATATGGGACTGTGCTTTTATGCATTTAGAATGCGCTGTGCGTGATGCTTGTGTAGTGAGTGGATTTTCCGAAAGCTTAATCTGTGTTAACTATTGGAACCTTTAACGACCGACTAGAAGTCTGGATGGCGAGGGAGACATTCTGACAGTGCACGTAACTGTGCACTGTAGTAGCAGAAATTCACAGAACCAGAAAGAATGGCTTGATTTTCCCGTAGCGAATTTTTAACTTGTGCAAAATCAAATTAAAAAATCGTTAATATTTGAACTTACTGTCTCCCAGGGGTTTTCCTTTTTTTTGGATTTTTTATGCTATTGAAAACGGAAGTCCATTGAATTTTTGCAAGAAGAATGTTAGCAAATGAAGCATCTTCTTTTTGCTTCTAATTGCTTAAGAGAGTTTTTCCAGTGGCGGCATTGCTCTTTGAAGTTATGTAAAATCAGTCATATTTGGAAATGGCAGTTGGTGCTGCTCACTGTGCTACCCAGTGAATAGTGTAAGAGGAGCAAGACAGAAGAGGAAGGCAGTGAGCGATTCATTGGAAATCTGAAAAATAACAGAACTGGAATTGGGAGCGAGTAGTATCATCGGACGAAATCTTTTCAACTGTTTGAAAAATGCACTGCTTCTAGAATCACGTTTAGGGATCTCCTCAGTTAGAGCGTCATCGAGTTAAATCAGCAGATTTTATGTGAGAATGTCATAATTGTTAGTGAACCACCAAAAAGTGATGTACTTTTTGGCCAGCATAAGTGGTGAAACTGCGGAGAGTGTTGTTGTCATCACAATCTGCTGGCAACTACTAAAACTCGGCACGGCTCGACTCGGCTCGGCCGGTGCGTTTTGCGCCCCAATGAGGCGTCTGCCATCTCTGGCAACACTATTTCG